GACTCATGATTTCCTCTTAACAGAAACATGTTGTTAGGATACTTGATTTTATACGCTAACAGCAAACAAATAGTTTCTAAGGATTTCTTTCCTCTGAAAATAGAAACAGAGGTCACTTTTATGAGTAATAATTACTCATAAAAGTGACTTTAATCTTGTAATCATGCATAAATTTATATAGAATTGTGCAAAAGCTTACTTAAAAAAGAAAGAGCTGTATAGCTAGTGTAAATCTGGGACTTCCCTAGCTGGGAAAGCAGTCCAGTTTCATGTGGAGTAGTAGTCATGAGTGCAGCGGTGAGCCAAAGTAGTGATGGAGTTTGGCCTCAGTAGCCTTTTAGAAATATTACATGGTCCTTAAATTCCTTCCTAAAAAATTATACACTTCAATTTTCAACACAAATTATTAGGACAGAAGTACACACCATGCTGTTGGCTTTTTTAGTAGCCAACAGGATAACATTGAAGAAGTTCTGGCCTGTGACAAGGGTATTATTGAGCCACTGGTCAAACTTCGCCAGACAGAATGGCTTTATGGTTCTTGCCACAAAACCAAAACATTATTGGTTGCTTATTTCCCGTGTAGCAACTAAACACTTAGTCATCTTGGCAACTGTATGTTGATCAAAGATTCATGGCCGGGAACGGTACAGCCTGATAAATATACAACCAGGCATAAAGAGAGTAATCACTAGACTGTTAACACAAGGGGTATTATATGACATTGTGCTCCAGTCCAATGACTCTTATTATCATGAAAATAGAGTGTAAGGCGTATTTAAAGGACTCCTGAGTGAGTTAACCCATTTGCCCCTGGAAATTTTGCCAAAAAAAATGCGTTTTGAAGCTATTCGAGTGGTTTTCTGGTCACTGTAGTGCTACAAAGAGCTAAAACTTACACCATAAAGCCATGTTTTACAGGTTGTACAATTTGCTCCTTCTGATCCAGATGCAAAATATTAGCTTGTGAAGTTCAGGCATGTGCAGAAAGGAATTTAGATTTGGGGGTTTAAAAGTGACGCTGACAGCAGTCTTGACTTTTACTTTTTGCTTCTCCCCTCTTGTTTGGTTTTTCTTGCCTCATTCTTTTTTCTTTTGCTGGGCATTTAGTAGGCTTCATATTAATGGGAAAAGTTTTTAGGAAAGCTTCTAGGATATCAGGATTAGATGAAGGAAAAGGTAGGTGGGTAGTAGAACAAGATTTTCATGGAAGTTTTCAGGTCAATGTTACATGGTTTCTTGGCTTTTTTCTCCAGTGACCTTGACTGAATTGTGCTCATTCTAGTATGGTTTGCAAGATTTCTTCACTCTGCACAAGTTAGGGGAAAANCCACTGAACTTCCCCGTGTTTTTATTTGAGTTGTTCGTGGCGCAATGCACTCTGCTTAAATGCAATGCATTGTGGTAAAAAGTGTGGTTAAATGCAATGCATTGTGGTTATTCGAGTGGTTTTCTGGTCACTGTACTGCTACAAAGAGCTAAAACTTACACCATAAAGCCATGTTTTACAGGTTGTACAATTCGCTCCTTCTGATCCAGATGCAAAATATTAGCTTGTGAAGTTCAGGCACGTGCAGAAAGGAATTTAGATTTGGGGGTTTAAAAGTGACGCTGACAGCAGTCTTGACTTTTACTTTATGCTTCTCCCCTCTTGTTTGGTTTTTCTTGCCTCATTCTTTTTTCTTTTGCTGGGCATTTAGTAGGCTTCATATTAGTGGGAAAAGTTTTTAGGAAAGCTTCTAGGATATCAGGATTAGATGAAGGAAAAGGTAGGTGGGTAGTAGAACAAGATTTTCATGGAAGTTTTCAGGTCAATGTTACATGGTTTCTTGGCTTTTTTCTCCAGTGACCTTGACTGAATTGTGCTCATTCTAGTATGGTTTGCAAGATTTCTTCACTCTGCACAAGTTAGGGGAAAACGTTGTCTCAAGCCCTAGGATTTCAAATCACACGGATAACAATTTTTCGGTTCCATGTCCAGTGATTATGGGAAACTATCGGTAACAATTTTTTGTTTCCGTGAAAATTCATGGGAACCCACTTTTATTTCTTTTAATGTACAGAAACAGTTTTCTGGAAACATGTTGTTACATTAAACATACTTTAAAATAAAGAACATCGGTGTGTACTATTATTTACACAAAACTTCAATGTTTATTATTAAAATGCCAGAAGAAAACCAATTTAAGTGTTTATTAAACGTGTGTGCACGGAAGTGTCAAAAACTCAAGACTCCTCTTCGATCCAACTAAAGGAGTAAGTATACTCACTTGAAATGTTTGCTACAGATCTTGTCTTGTCTTTAAGACATTTGGGCCTCATCATCTGTTTCGTAGTGAAATTGTCACTAAAAGACTACTATCTAATTATTGTTTTTAAACTTTTGGAGTCTTATCTTTTTTTTCTTGGCACTGGAAGCCATAACAATCGCTGCTGTTAACTGTAAAACATCTTTCATGCGTGAGTCATCAGTAACATGTGAACGATTCAAGATGGCCGGTAGATGATAGAAAAACAGTAATGTTGTTTTTTTCAAATTTCATTTATACACAAGCTGAGTCATAAACAGTCCAGAATATCCCTAAATTTAAGGACAGGGCCAACCGGTCATGCAACACTTTTCAACAAATGAGAAGGCGCCCTTGTGTTTATCAACAAACAAATAAAAACATCGCCCCAGTGATCAAAAATTCTCAAAACAGCAGACGGAGTCGGACAGAATCAGTCAACATTTCGAGGCTCTCAGGCATATTTTAAAGACTTTTCATGAGGCATACACAATTTTTTTAAGTGGGCAGCGTATCGGAAGCCATATTGGAAGTGTCTCGTGAAATATTAAGCACATTTTGTGGCTTATTTCTTCTTTCAAACAACGCGATGTATAGGCAAGATTTTGTTTGGTTTTCAAGGTAGGTGAACAAGTACCTATTATTTTTTCGATTCACAGATTTTTTACGAAGTTCTAGATATTTTTCCTCAATTGTCGTATTGATTAATTTTTATCATGTTGAGGCAACCTAGAATTTTGGTAGACAATATTTGAATTCCGAGGTCCAAAACACGTACGTTTTCCACTCCCAGGTTTCTCACAGAGCCGTGTTATTACTTTTTTTCGCATTAGTACGAGCCTTTGCCTTTTTTCTTTTCAAGGCCAAAACAACTTTATTAGTCTCATGGATATTCACGTCCAACACCTCGCCTCACTTTGCTGAATTTGCGGGGATGAAATTGAAGATCATAAGCACAAGGTAGATACTAACCGCTTTGTTTCACCAAATCTGGAAAGATTTAATGTTGTTGGATTCTCCAAATGTTCATCCACCGTTAAAAAACAATCAAAGAAAGAGGGCAAATTTCAAGTGTAAATGATGTATTTCGCTACTCATTGAACATTCACTGATTATCTGGGATAAAATTAAAACATTGAAGGTACTACAGCAAGCAAAGTAAGCACCAGATGCGTGAAGTCAACACGAAACAACACAAAAAAACAAAAAAGAAAAATTAATAAATTTGAACTACTTTTTATTCTTGTTAGGATGACTGGTTCTTTGATTCTTGTCCTGTAGAAGTTAATAGGTAGTACCAATCCTGTTTGGTACAATGTCAAGAAATTTTCACTCTCTCTGTAAGGCTATTTTTACCCGGGACCAGTTTGCTTCTATCAAAAATCTTGCAAGCCATGCCAGTGAAGCCACGACCTCTGCGATCGGTCCGGAATTAGTTCGAACACTCCAATGATTCCTTGCAACGAATAATGCTCTTATTCTCTTACATAAAATGTTTTCTTTGAAATATTAAATGTGAAACGTAGACGAGTACTGTAAGCTCATCTTTAATTCTGTCCGACTCTGTCCGTTGTTTTGAAAATTTTTGATCACTGGGGCGATGTTTTGATTTGTTTGTTGATAAACACAAGCGCCCCTTCTCATTGGTTGAAAAGTGTTGCGTGACCAGTTGGCCCTGTCCTTAAATTTAGGGATATTCCGGACTGATAAAGGATTGCTGTACGTGTGGAAAAAAACACTATATTTGTGTATTTTGATCCCTCAGTCTGAATATATCAGGACATGTTACTGGGAAACTATTTTTTAGTTCCATTATTTTAGGATCACAGTAACGACACGGTACCGGAAACGATCATTACCGTGAAATCCTCGGGCTTGTTGTCCATGACCATTAAAACTGATGACAAGCACTGTAGAAGGGATGTGGATCCACATGGGCAGCTCAGGGGTGAATGGGTTAATGAATACAAAACAATTTTCCATAATTAATTTATTGTGTGGCTATACAATTAAAGCTACAACTCTTTCTTTTAGAGATCAAGATTTGTGAGAATGCACCATTCAACATTGGTGGGAATTCAACAACTTTCTTATAAACAACACTGCAGAACTTAGTCCAGGATGACAATGCATAACAGGAAACTATCACATAATTCACTCAAAATACTTCCTTTTGGTAGATAAGTTCTAAGTTAGAGCCTAATGAACTGGACTTTTAAAAGAACACAAGAGGGTAGCCTCTCCGATTTGTTTATCATAAACCTTGAACAGTGCTGAAACCAGCTTTCAGTCTCATGCAGGGAAGTTGTTAGATGTAAGCAATCAAGTTCCCTGTTACATTGAAAATTCTCTCTGGACATGGGAGTAAAGCAGTGGCGGATCCAGGGGAAGGGTCCAGGGGTCTGGACCCCCCCTTTCCCTCCATCAGACCTGACACTTGTTTGAGACTGAAATTCTTACTATGGCAGGATCATATATCACTTTTTAACTGGCTGATTTTTGTTAATGAAACAGGCGCTGCACTTTGCCACTAAACTTAATGCCAGGGATATTCAAAAATGTTATTGTTTTTGGGTACCCTCCTACGATCTGCTCGCCTCTGCTCCAAAGCAATATTTCCCGCACCAACAGAGACTGGCGTTCACAAATAGAGAAACACATGGTTGTCTCTGCTTTCTCAGCTGGTCACAAAAAAATTCAACAGTCCTTCCTGAACCAACGTTTGGACCCCACCCACCCCAATAAAAAATTCCTGGATCTGCCCCTGTAACCAACGATCCATATCAGATCAGATCAGGTCAGATCTTTTTGCTGCAACGAATAACAAACCATTGAGGAGCCAATGGTGACAGCATTAACTCCAAATGGCTCTAATTACACTGCAGAAATTTTGGAACTTGAATTGCAAGCAGAAGCCCTTCGATCTTCCTAGATGAGCCATCTTATCGAGGAAGATTGAAGGGCCACTGCCCTCAGGGTACGTACTTTAGGCATTAAAAAATGCTCACAAAAATGAAATGTTTGTTTTGGCAATTATAATTATCGGTTTGCAGTAAATAAATAAATAAAATGAATTTTCCATACAAACCTGTCTACGTAGTCTCCCATGAACAAAAAAGAACAATCTGGTGGATAACCTAGCTTGTCAAAATGTCTCAAAAGATCATCGTACTGTCCATGAATATCTCCAAAAATATTAACTGGCGCATTTAACTCCAATAACATGCCTTCCTGCATGAATACCTCCCTTGACACTTGACATAGTAAACGTATCGTCCCTTCTGGAAGCTGAACCTGGAAGTCAAATCGCACAGTTTTTTTTTTAAGCAAACCTTCATGCAAAGTTTAATTTGCAATGGCGGTCGTGCTAAAGAACTGCATGTACTTTTCTAATGTTGATAATAGATAATAAGCTTAGAAAAAATAATTTTAAGGTATTTCAAAAAAGATGATATGCCATTGTCTTCGACAAAATTCTATGAAAACACTTCTGCAATAACAAAAGAAACTGGCTTTATTGTCCTGATAATCAAAGTCCCTCTGCGGTAAAACTATTTCACAGAGCCATGTTTAAAAGAGAGATGACGCTCATATGAACTCGCCTACCTGCGTCGCCGGGTTGTTTTTGTAGTCCAGGAGCTGACTTATGGCGCTGTCAACGTCAAGTCCAAACTTTCTACAAAGCTCCGTCATATTAGAAGGCTACATTTCAATTCCAAGCTGTCGACGCTGACTTATGAACCATGGTTCAGCTGTTTGTTAATTTCTGACCGGGCTGACCGGGTTCTCGCCCGAGGCAAATAACTTGATGACGTCACAATCAATCAAGAAGTTTAGCGGGGTTGAATATTAAGAAAATTAATGGCAACGAGGCTGGAGTTGACCTTATTCCTGATTTCTTATGTAAATCATGTTGTTCTTATGCTAACCAGTATTTTTCAGAATAATTTCCATAAGAAAACAAAGAAGGTTTGTATCAAAACAAAACAGTAAAAAACTACAGTAGCCTTTTGACTTTAATTGTATCAAAAGAAGGTCAACCTCGATCAGCCCCCCCCGGGGGGGGGGGGGGGGCCTTGGGGTTTTTTTAAAAAAATTACGGTGTCTTTTGTCTTTAATTTGATAAAAAAAAAGGCCACCCCGCACCCCCCCCCCCGGGGGGGGGGGGGGGGCACTTGGGTATTTTTTGGGTGGGTATGTGCCGCCCGGGACTCCAAATTGGCACCCCGTTCTAAAAAAAATTTCCCCTAAAATTGATACCCCATTCTAGAATTCGCCCTAAAACTGATACACCGTTCTAGAAATGGGCCAATTTTTTATACTCCGTTCTAGGGTGCAAAGAGTACAACTACAAGTTTGCATTGTTAACGCATTGAACCGTATTTTTAAAAGCAATCTGTCCTTGAATAATTTCAAATGGCTGCTTACAAAACTAGAGCTTTCGTGCGTTCGAAATATAATACCCCGTTCTAGAAAACGCCTCTGAAATGGGTACCGCGTTCTAAATCAGGAGCTTCAAAATCACGACCCCGTTGGGTGGCACATATCCGTATAGGTAATGTATGGGAGTACCCCCCCCGGGGATCAGCCTTGCATTTGACTCAAAGGCTGAGGTCAGCTAAGCCCACAACTGTTAGCCTGTGTACAGTCCCCCTGCCCCCGTTCTCAGGAAAAATCGGAAAAGGGGCTATTCCTGAGGGGAGGGGGTCGTGAGGGGAGGGGCATTCTGTACACAGGTTAACACATTACTGTAAAATGGTCTATTCATAATTTGCAAGACATCAAAGTCATATTATGTTTTTTTCCTTAGAATCCTTAAATTTGAGGAACTCACTGGCTTATAGCCTGATCAAGGATCAGATCCAGATAGTGGGGAGAGGGGGAAAACAGAGGGGGAACTGAGAAAAACGACAAAGTTCCCTACTATACTACTGCTATCTAGTACATCTGAACCCCGGGGAAAGGGGTGGGGATGCTCGTTGTCTTGCTTAGGGGTGTAAATTTCGGATTTTGGTCTCACTTAGGGTGCTCTGGTCAAAACGGTATTATATTCAGCCGTAAAGGTCTCTTTTAGGATTGTGCGCAAACAGGATGAATAGAGGCTCCAGTGTGGAGAAATATTCAAAAATTGTATATTTTCAATTCGTTTTATTTACTCAATCCATGTAATCAAAGTTTAAAATGGTCTCTTCTCAGGGTAAAAAAAAAGGTTGGGCTATGCACAGATTGGTCTTCTTTAGGGGCTTAGTTCAAAATTTGCGACGAGCATCCCCGCCCCATTCATGTGAGGGTTCCCCCAGGGATCTTACACCTAGCTAACTAACTGAACACCTGGAACAGACTAACTTTTGAGGAGGTGCAACCACCATATATGGGCTATATTGGTAGTCTTGGTGTGAAGGGTATGTTTTCAAGCAGTTTCGTCTGGGATAGGGAATAGAAATCAGGGTTCTTTGGTCTAGACAGGTCTAGAATAGGGTATCTTTTTCCAGGAAATTGGCCCCAGTTGTTCAATATGTGGATATGTTTTGGATGCAAAAATTGCACTGGCTACTTCTTTCTGGGGAAACGAATGATTTTATTTTTCTTTCTGCAAGGATAGTACTCTTGACATTTACAATTTAAGTCTTGCAAGTTTGTCCTTAGTTCACTTTTATTACATTTTCCCTTTGATTTTGGGTATGGTTATTGTATTATAATGAGTTTCAAACAAAACAAACCCTTTACACACATTATCCATTATGAACAATAGGGCCATTCATACGAGGGAAAATAAGACGCGTCTTAAATAAGATGCGAACTGTACCATTTATACGAGCATGTCTTATCTAATAAGACGCGTCTTAGCTAAGCTGCGTCTTATTTTAGGCGAAATGTGCCGTTTATACAGAAAGTTCGCGTCTTATGTAAGACGCATCTTATTTTTCTTCGTATAAATGGCCCTAATATCTTTCATGACAAAAACTGAACCACCATAAATACATACACACATTCTACATCTAAAACTTCCAGGAATGAAGATAGAAACTTTGGAATAAATTCAATATTATTGCAGCTTTCTTTCTTGATACCATTTCTTTATGACTTCTCTATTAATTTAAAAACCTTCCTGTAGGGCAATTTCCCCCTTCAAATTACATTCCTAATCAAGGAGTCATTGCTTCATGCAAAGAAGATCACTTTTTAAATGTCAGGATTCAGTAATACAGAAAAGCATCCTTCCACAGTTCTCCCTACTGACTCCAAGAAAAAATTCGATTTTTTTGTGAGTGCCCTTTGAAGCACACAGATGAATTAACCTTTAGGTATCAACTTAGGAGAGAAGTCCAATTTTTCTCTCCTTTTTTTTTTAATCACCCTAAAACAATCTGGCATCCTTTAATGAAAGTTCCTCTTCGCCGATAAATGCCTCTAGGCAACAAGACAAGGCCGGATGAGATGAAAAATTACAACCAGAGAAGCTATAAATGACAAACGTTCGCCAGATGGATAATGTGCCTCTACTGTGATGAAAAATTATACTAGTAGGAAAAAGTGTCAAGTAGAAGTCTCCTCATGGTTGTTCCAACAGACTGTGAAGGTTGGTCGGAAGCCTGATAACTAAATTTATGAAGGTAAGGCTGAACTTCCTTGAAACTAACATCAAACACATTAGCTACATCTGATTGATTAGGCATTTTAGGGACATACTCTGGTCTGTTCATTACTCCAGCGATACAGATTATTTTCTCAGCGAGAGCTTCGCCGACCTTTTCCCGACAGATTTGTCGTTCGTGTTCATTAGCTAAAGTGACGACATTCAGTTTTACAGTCCAAATTTCCCACGGGATATTTTCCATTCCAAACGGCCAACGCGCTTTCTTCTTCTGATAAAATTCTATAGATATCTGTCCACTCCTCAAGCCCTCAGGACACTTTAAAGATTCCCTAAATTCAGCAACTTGTCTTCTTAACGAACGGTGTAATTCGTCAGAATCCACGCGAACGTAAGTTGAGTTTATAAAATCGCAATCCACATCAACCATACCAATAGTTCCGATGGTATAAGAACCCTCTCTTTTGTAACTAAACTTCCCAGACGTTCGGTGAAGCAAAATGGAGTGAAATATACTCAAGATTGCCTCTTCGATTTGCCGTCCTTCCACGGACAATTCAAACACTTGCGCTCGAGCGTTCATCTTTTTTTGAAATAGTTCCCAGGCGTTCGCCTTACTAAGCAGATGTATTGAACGGAAAGCCCTGGGCACTAGTAGACTGCTTTGCCTAAAATCCAATATGGCAGGCGTCCTCAGGAAATCGGTGGACTGGCTAAAATTTGCTTGGGCAAGAGAACCCGTTGTCTTTATGTCATGCGTATTTGGATTTTCAGGTAATTATTTTGTTTTTTACCCCTTTATGTTCACCGAATAGAGAACAATGTTTAAGTTTATGCAACTGATCTCTACTATATTGAAAGTAAGAATCTGCGCCATATTGTTGAAGTGCGAATGGTATTTGAGATTAGGATTAGTTAAAAGCTACAGTGTTTTCTACTGATAGCGTCAACATCCTTTTTTTCCACCGAAAGCAACAAAACACCTTCTAAAAAACGCCACATCTTGATGCCGTGTTGTCACATTTTCTTCAGTGGCCTCTGAATGCTGTACTTCACAAAAAACTGAGCCTGCAATTGTTTTGTAGAAAATACCATCAAAGATGGCGCCCAAACTTATGATTTCATTGCAGACAAAAGCTGCTTGTTATTCCTAATTAAGAACACAGGGGAGATGTATAGAATCATATAAAAATTTTTGAAAATATTTTGTGGTTGAGTAAAACCTCACTCGTCCGAAGAGTGACTTTTGAAGTTAACTTAATCGTCTGTACGAGATTGTAGTCGTCTGGGACGACTGGATGACTGGGAATATGGATCCCTGTGTATAGCAATCAGAGCTTCTGCAATTTTCATTTTCTTAAGAGATTGCTATTTTAAAATTCATTGTTGCCTAGCTTTGACAGAAAATTACTTGTGAGTTTGTATCTTTTTGTTCTTTGTATTGCACCATTTTCACTGCAATACATGTCACTTATGGTAATATTTGCCTGTTCTTCATGCAATTAGCTTTGTTCTTAATGCATGTGGGGTATGAGAGACTTAGACAGGAAAACTACTGAGTTAGCTTGATGATTCACTGTTTCCAGAAGTTGCCCTTTAAAGTATACTGATGTGTACATGTACTTTAATTTGGGGCTTAGTTTCCTGTGGACCCTGAGGATATAACACCGACTTGGAGGGGTCTAGTTGCATTTACCAGGTTTGAAACCATGATACGAATCCAATTTAACTGTCAGAATTTTAAGGCTGTACAGTTGTCAGCAATCTTTTCCACTCTCATCCTCATAGGTCCTCTCTTTGTATTGGTTAGTCCCTGGACAAAGGATACTATTAAAACTATGAAGTCCATACCCCATGTCTATCCATGTAAGTAAACATTTTTCCCTTTTATGGTACTCATAAAATAATGCTCTAGAACTAAATTTGTATAGGTAATCATACAACGATGAGTTCAATTTGGGATTTATTTTCACAAGTGTGTTTTTCAAAAAGTTTCAAAATTGCATAACTCCAAAAGCTGAATGCAGTTTGAACTTTTTTGAAACATTCATGAGTGCACATATAAATCAAAATTAGTGGAGTCTGTTTATAACAGCCACCCTGGAGACCCTAGAAACCACCTGCTTAGAGCAAGGAGTCCATCTTTAGTCATGTTGAGGTTACCTGTGAGTTCTAGTGCATGATTGGCTTTTAATTGTTTCTATTGTTCATTAGCCAATCACAGTACTCCATTCTCTGAGATATGTCCATTTTGTTTCCTTTTTTTGCATTATATTTCCTTGTTTTTTTACTAAAAAACTGCATTGCTCTCAACAAATCACATTCAACAAATTTTTTCATTTGTATTAGTAGCTTGGATATAGAACAAGACATTAAGTTCAATGGAATCCAGACACCAGATCCCTGAGTTTTCTTTTTTCATGATCATTAAATAGTAGACATTTTGACAATACAATTCAGAGTGTTACCAGAGGAATGTTATATCATATTGAACCTTGGTTTTAACTTTGACAACACCTTGACATCATCATCAGAGATTATTTCCCACTGGTTGTTTGATGCACTTTTGATGTAAAACTATTGACATTAATTTTTTCACATAATTAGTGCTCATGAACATAGTTTCTCACATAGACCATAACATAACCCTTGAGCAGCTGGACATTTTTAATGTATATATATCTATATATGTTGTAGTTAATTTTTTATCTCACAGGTAATTTTTGTTTTTCTTTTGAAGGGGGACATTGGGGGGGTACCCAATACCGCAATACCGTAAGAAAAAAATGGCAAATACCGAAAGACCGCGTCAAAAATCGTCTAAATACCGATACGGCATATTTTAATCACATTCATAATCGGTTCCGCATACTTTTGGGTGGTTCCATCTAGCGCGTTTAATTATCTCAGGCATTTATGCACCAGATGTCCATGTTTTTTTTAATAATTATTTTGGTAGTTGGCAAATTTTTGGCAAATTTTCACTGAAAAGAACCTTTTGGTAGGTCGACCCAACAGCTAACTAACTCCAATAAAAATAACTCTTGAAAGTGCGAAAAAAAAACAAAACAAAAAACAAACCAACCAAAACCCTTTCCACGCACGTCTAGTGCGAGTTTGGATGAGTCTATAGTCTAGTATGTCAGTATCTCAGGGGTCAACTATCTCGACTGTCTCCCCAGTGGGGAGGAGCGTTGCGTGACGACACTAAAAACGGCTGAGTAGCAGACTGGCACACGTACACAGATCGAAAAGCCTGGTAAGGTAACTTGAGGTGACTCATTGTCATTGGATGCAACAACAATCTCATTGTATATTATCGACCATTAACTGTCACAAAATGACCCACAATGGTTTAATCATTTACCGTTATGTCTCAAGACTGCTAAATATTAACTTTTATTGACCTTTATTTCCTACTGTGTTTTGTTTTGCGTATTGTATCGAAAAGAAAGCGCAAATAAACGGTACCGTAATACCGTGAACAATCTTATTTCACCGAATACCGTCAGCCAAAATGATGAAAAACCGCATACCGCAGAGCTAGATGATACCGCAATACCGCACGTTAAAATTAAAATTACCGAAATACCGCATGAAAAAAAGCCCAATACCGTAAACCCCCATGTCCCCCTCCTTTTGTTTCAACTTCATTAGCATACGTTACCATACCCAAAAACAGAAGAAAAAGAAAAATTAGGGGAGACAGAAAGTTAACTACAACATATATATTTGGTGTTAGCTGGGGTCATTTTAGGGCAACTACTACATTTAGATGTGTTCGAGAAACCTATGACAGATTTGGTCAAAATTCTTTAAGTTTCAAAATCTTACCTATGAGTTATCAGATAACTGCAGTATGTAATGTTTAATCCTTTCTCCTTTTATTTTACAGATCCACAATTGGAGAATCAAGATCTAACTAACATTGATGGTCAAGGAAACAAAATCTATCCAGAATTTCCTATCTAAGAAACCAATGGTCCTTTTGTACAGACTGCTTGTAATAACTATTTGAAAATCCCTCTGTTGCATGTCATGTTTGGTTGTTTTGAGTGGAAATTCGTTCTTTGTTCATACCTAAGTTCTTGTCAAATTGACTGTAATAATAAGGTTCCTGATGATTTCAAGTAATAAAGGCAACATTTTAGAAAATAAATGAGCTCGCCGCCATGAGTCTCGGCTCTGTAGATCATAAGTTAGGGCACCTGACCTTATCTAGGTGGTTTCCTGTGAGAAACGTAGACATTTTTAAATCCACACTTGTGACACACTGGTAATGGACATTGGTCATCTATCCCAGGGATAAAGGTCTTGACATTAATTTGCGAGTTATTTGGCAGCTGACCAACCAAGTGAACTTAAGCAGTGTTTAGAAACCCTTTCTTCTATTCCTAGGTTTCTTTTCTGCTTTGATACGGATCCAACAAGCCCTCCCAGCTTGCAAAGAATTCCCCCTCCCCCCTCGAGAAGAAGGTTTTATGGTCCTTTAGAAGCACCACTCAGCTTTTCTATCATTTTCTTTTTGACACTTTCTCCTGAATGGCATGCCACTCTCGGAAAATTATCCCTGGTTTCTTTTTACTAAGTGCAGAGAGATAACGCGCAAATCTTGTAGCAATGAACACCGACGTACCGCGATCGGCAAAGGCTGCAGGAACAACAGACCCCGTCACAGATAAGATATGATGATGATGATGATGATAACAATAATAATAGCAATTAACTTTATGTCCGTGTCAATAAATAAAGCGGTCACTCACTAAATAAGGATACCTGTTTAAGAACTAATTAAAAAAGTAGGTAACATATAACTGAGAAGATACAATAGTTTATTTAAAACTCCTACATTGCAACCAAGTGCTAAATTGCATAAAATCAGACTATTAATTCTTTACAAATTATATCGAAACTCTAACAAATACCAAGAATTTTTCATAACGTAAAATGCAGAAAAATGACAATTTTATTAACCGGTACATCTAATGTTTGTCTAAAAACTAATCAGCCGTTTATAAGTGATAGAGGCTTATTAGCTTGGCAGGCAGCACATGGTGACATGGATAACAGTGTCCAAACAGATTGGTGCGGATGTGTGGCTGGTCAAAGACCCTCTTGATTCTTGCATTGCATTGAGCGTGGTATTGTGAGGCGGAGCTAGTAAGCTGGCTAACTATGTTGTTCTGAGGAACCTTATTAAATATTTTGGTACACTGTTTACTGCGGACTACCTAAAGACTGTAATTATGGAGAATGCTTTCTTTTGTACAAGCTACAGTTCCTATAAGATGTTCAGATAGGAGAGTGGAAAGAACAGGGCGAATAACAGTATAATAATATCCGTAGTTGGTAATATCTGACTACGGGTCTGTTCAGCAAAACCAAAAAGTCCAACCGCTAGTTAGGCTTCTTTCATTTCTAGATCGTTTTATACTAGTAACCCCTGTTATCTTGACACTATCAGGGACCGATAGTTCTTTACCCCTATGTACTGCTCGACTGAAAACAGATTTCTTTTTAAAATCGTTTGTAATCATCTTGCACTTGCCGGCGTTTAGCTCAGCATGTTCTACTGCTCTCGTGACCAGTTCTCAACGGTATTGATGCCGTTCTGGGCATAATTGACAGATCACTCCTCTCACCACACGCGGGTCGATCTCAGCAATTATGCTGTTGTTAACGTACTTCCAAGTATGCAGCCCGTTAACTCCAAGGTCATTGATCATCAATGAAAATAGCCAAGGGCCCTATTTGGTGCCATGAGGTACACCTACAGGGACAGGGTACCGTTAGTAGAGACGATCCGCGGATAATGCACGAAGAAGTCGGTTACCCCGCAAGCAACTTCGCGATTGATAGCTAGGCTAAAGTCCTTGCACACGAGCAGTTTGTTCTGAGTTAATGAGATCTAAGGCCTCCCTATGATGGGCATAACTACAGAATACAGGGCCAAGTATCTTTATAGGTGTATGATCAAACAGGACGACCTTAACAGCAGTGCCGGTCCCTCTGGTAGCTTGGGACCAGTGATGGGCCATAGAAATCAAAGCGTGCATGTAAACAGGACAACTTGAGGGTGCCTCCATAATAGTTGGGGTAGAATACTTCTAACACCGCACGGCTAACATGAAGAGTGACTATTAAGTCCTCAACAAGTTTAGACTACGAGCAGTCTTTTGGTCCGTCGAGCAAAACGCCCGAGACACGCAAATGACCAAGTGCATGACTGAAGGCGCGAGACGCCCTCGTTTCTCGCGTCTCGCGGCTTCGTCCCTCAACTGCTCGCAGTCTACAACAAGTTTAGAAAGGTCGATCGGACTTTTGATGGGATTCAGGCACAGATGTTTGTTCCTTAGTAACAAAGACACTCATGTATCTTCGGTGTCTTTGCTGTCATTAGTGCTTTTCAGTAGAGAGTAACAGCTAACTACTCAGAGAAAAGTAATTTTCTATAACTGTTAAATCACTTCATTTGTTATTAAGAAAATTCCATATTTTAGGGAGTTTGTTCCCATGGCTTCACTGAAGGCGCAACTACCTTATTTAAAGTACGTCTACATGACCTAGCCAATTTTGTTTAATCTGTTAATTTTCTTTTTCTAGTTCACTCATGACGTTTTGGTTTGCTTATTTTTGATTTCTAAAAAAAAAAATTAAACCACCATCGATGTTGACCACGGCGAGTTATGTGCGCGGATAGGGCTGTTAAAAGGCATAACATTTCTTCAAAAAATCGAGCGGAGAAAACTCGAGCTTCTAGAACAAAAAGTCAAAAGTTTGCAGCCACAGAAATCTGTGAATCCTAACTCTCGATAGGTACAATTTCCTTTCATTGTCAACAACAACAACAACAACAACCCCTGTTCTTCGCGCCTCCCTCCTCTACCATACCACGCTGAGGCAACCACCTCGGAATGATTTTAATCCAAGATGACTGCCTGTAAAAGGGCCGGGCTGCATGTAAACACTCATGTTTTCCATGCATGGATTAAAATTGGTTTGGACCTGCCAAAGTTAACTGTTATTTTACTGGTAACACTTTGTATGTAAATTAACCTTAAAAAGACCCAATCTCGTCAATTAAAATTTGCATACATTGTTCTTAGATTCTTATTGTTATGGAAATAGATTTTGTAGCTTATCATCCGGTCTGGCGGCAATCTGCCATAGCTTTTCATTTACTACAGGAAAAGGTAAACCGTGTTTTCACCAAGGTTTTTACCCGACGCGAATCATCTTAGGAAAGTCAAAGTTGATTGGAAAGTGACCATGGTAGTTGCGTCTCTAATTATTACCGGCATCGTTAACGCCTTCTCATCTTTTTTTGCCATAACGCTGAATATTTTAACAATACTCGCGCTGAGGAAAACTCCATCGTTACCAAAGCCCATGAAAGTGTTGCTACTGAGTCTAGCTGTTTCTGATCTCGGTGTTGGCTTACTGGTGCAACCATTGTTTATTGCACTCATCAGCATGGACATGCAACAAGAGTCCAGCAACTCTGTGCTCAGAATATTTCATATCACTGGCACATTTTTTTCGTATGCTTCCTTCTTCGGCATCACAGCTCTAAGTTTGGACAGATTTTTGGCAATTCATCTTCATCTCAGATACCAGGAACTGGTAACTCACAAGCGTGTCGCTGCTTTGGTGATTGCCATTTGGGTGACGAGTACAATCCTCGCCTTACTTGTGTTCTTTTTTCAGAATATTACGTTTATAGTTCTAGCTGTAATCGTCGTTTTCTGTTTTCTGTCTACAACATTTTACTACATTAATATATTTTTAGCTGTTCAACGCCACAAAAATCAAATGCGATCCACCAAAGCAGATGCACACCAAGCAACCGCGGACAGTGAGAACGGAAAAGATGATTTTACAAGGTTAAGAAAATCTGCTGTTGGTACATTCTACGTCTATCTTGTGTTTTTGGTGTGTTACACACCAGACTTTTGCATTATCGTTGCCGATGTAATAAACTCTGGTCAAAGAAGTACTTTTGTAAAGCATCTGGCTTTCTTCACCTTATCGCTAGTATTTGTAAATTCGTCTTTCAATCCTTTGATTTACTGTTGGAAGATGAGAAACATTAGACACGCCATTACTGTGATAATTCGTAACATACGCCAGTGTAACAAATAATCTCGCAGCCTTACCAGGATGAGAAGTCTTTCTCGTATACGTCTTTGAATATTTTAGAGTATGTTCGAGCCGAAAGTGTCTCAGTTGAGATGGAACTCCAAATTTCCAAAAAATATACTGTATGGGATCATATATGAAAGGAAATTAAAACTGAGCGCTATAAGAATTTCATGGCGATTCACCTGCACTGAGGAAACAGTTTTCATATATATTTTTATGTATTTACTTATGGCACTTTTCAGATCGAGAGAAGAAAAGACGCAATTACTATTGTTGTAGATAAGGTTTATCTACAGCTGGCTCTGTTTTTTTTTCTCGCAATTAGGGACGGACCATTAGAAAACTTATGGGGAGGGGGGGGCGGGCGAAGTACAAAAAAAAAATTCGCGCAAGGGAAAATTAAATGAAAAAAAATTCTTGCACGCCAATTAACCCTAAAAAATATTCATGCTATGGCGTAAAAAAATTCATACAAGGAATTTGATAACGAAAAAAAATTCCTGCGGCTCGAAAATTCCCCTCCCCCCCCCCCCTAACTTTTCTAATGGTCCGTCCCTTAAAAATATTGACTAACAAAGAGCTTTGGGCAAAATAATAAGGCATCTTCTTTAATTAATGAAGTGAAGCGTACGAATCGCATGCCGGAGAACGGAACTGGTAGGTTATCTCTGAAACTGATTATGGATGGTAGTTAGTATACTCAACAAAACCTGCCAGATCCTGCCAGATAATTACATTGCAAAACTTATAAAGTTTTAATGGATGTGGCTGAGAAAAACCGACCGGATATATCTCAGACCGAAGTTGAAAATAATGATAATAAGTATAATTTACAAGTTTTACGTTTTGTTTTTAAACTGAAAACAACAATAATTCACTGCTCCAATCAGGTCACCACTCAAAAAACAGACGAGGCCATTTATCGACTCTGGACAGCTGAGACCATTCTTTTCCAAGCTAAATTAGTCTTAAGACGACTAAGTGCGTCGCTCAGGCGCACTTAAACGAACAGACGACTTTAATTGTCAAAGTCAAAATATCCTTGATCTACCTCTCCTAGGGTATTGCTTGTTTCATAGTCCACTACCCTGCTATTTAGCATACTGAACACATATAACTTATAATAATTAATTTCGTTTTAAATAGAATGTTTGGGATTTGGCTTTGAAAACTCTTATCTGGTCACGTATCTTTTAGTTTCTGTTATCTAAATGCCTGTCCAATGAAATGTTACATCTCATTACTTCTTATTAAACTCTGTATTTCCAACAGAAAGTGAAATAAACTTGACTTGACTTGACTTGGCTACCAGAGCTATTTTCCTTTTACAACTATGCCTAATGACAGGCTGATCTTACGGTTAAACAGCAGAAAAGTGCAATTTCTGCCTACGTTGGTTGAGAATGCAAACAGGTCTTGGGCATCTATAAAAACGGAGAAGCAATAGAGACACTATTCAGTTTCTTCTATCGCTTCGTGCGACAATTTCAGGTACTTTTCGCCTGCGCGCCTTGTGAGAAGGAATTTTTGGAGTTAAAAAGTGACTGTTTTGTAGTCTTGTCCTAAACAAGAACGCTCTTAAAAAAGCTTCGAGTCTCGCTTGCTTGGAGATTAGATGATAAATGAGGAGACTATTGATTCTACACGAAACAAGATTTCCTTGCTAAAAGTTTCTCCCTTCCTACTTTATCGACGATCGAGTAGTTTTTAGGATATTTACCTTTTATATCGTATTCGACGGTGATTGAGTACGTGTGTATAAATCCAAACGTGGTCAATCGAACCCAATCGAACTGCAATCGTTCGATTGACTTCGATTGGGTTCGGTAATCGAACATGTTCGAACTCACCCAAAACTTTTGCCAACCGAACAGAATCAAACCTTCGGAAATGGAAGCTTCAAAAATTGTACACGAAGTTTCATCTCGTTTCAAACAAGGCGTTGCTGCGGTCAACGAATAAGTTATGCCTTAGCTTGAATATTTCAAGTACAAGTATACAGGGTAGATGTCGGACAGAGAAGAGACAGCGGAAAACGTGAAACCCAGCATAAAACTACCAATTCTGGAAGATATGTCATAATTAAAGGCTACCACGGATGCTCTGTCGGCGTCGGTGTCGATGAAAAGTCTTTTGTTGATATAGGGATCCAGCTCCTGCAGTGGCGGCGACCGCCATTTAATACTTTGCAACATGAACCGATGCCTGTGCGTTGGCCATTGACCTTCAAATTTGAAGTGTAAATCTTGTGCCCGCTACCGTCGTTGAGCACTTCCAGTGTTTATTGTGAATTTAACGATTACTGAAACAAGCAGGATTTTATTCAATTGAAATGTCTTTACGTTGTCATTCCTGGCTAAGACGGAAATCTTTCCGATTTAATTGAAATTAAATTATCGCTGATTTTTATACCGTTTTGTCTCTCTGCCGAGCAAAATCGAACTCACCGAAAAGTTCCAGTTCGATTCCGTTCGATTACCGAACCAATCGAACAACAAACTGACCGATTGGGTTCCGCATTGATTTTAAGTTCGGTTTTGTTCGATTAGCTACGCCGGGAAAAATACACGAAAATCAGTTCGAGAGAAATTTCATCATTGCCATAGCTCTGCCATAGACTAAATATGTGATCAATATGACGCGTCATTTCAATCATCGCCGAAAATAAGCCGCATGCTCAACATACAAGACTCATTTGTATTCAACGAAATTTCACAGCACCAGACCAGTTCACAGCCTCACCAGCAAAGTTTTCACTGAAGTGTCCAGTTGTTCCAAAGTAATCAACACTTTCGTGGACCGACCCGCTCAAGACTGAAAAGCTCGACGTCTTTTTCATCAATCTTTCCTAACCTTTCTGCACAAAATAAAGTATACCGATGTGGCACGTCGCGATTCTTATCCCCAGTTTCCACGGTCTACGCTAGGAACGCCTGTGACAATGATACCCTTTTGGCAAGCACGCAAGAACAAAAAGGAGAAGAAACGCTTGCATTTTCTGAGTCTCGCTGCCAAAGCAAGCATGAATAAAGACCTAGGGTGGGACACACTGGAAATGAGAAGAAGACAGTTCAGGTTAACACTTATGTATAAACTAACTCATGGTCTTATTGATATAGGTAGCCGAGAACATTCAATTCAACACTCTGACAGTCGTACGAGGGGAAGCCATCAATTTAGATTTCGAGTGCCATAAGCAAATGAGGACATTCTTTAAACTTTCATATTTTCAGAGAACTGTAGCTGACTGGAACTGCCTCCCTGAGGCCATTGTATCAGCAACTTCATTAGACTCTTTTAAATCTAATTTATAAGCTTTTTAAAGTAATATAGTTACATAGTTATATATTTTTATTTAATTTTATATCATCGTTTTCTATTATTTTACGGTTGGTGTGATGTCTCAGCTATTTTTACCACTGAACTAAAATATGTAGATGTGGATGTACATAAGACTAATAAGGGAAACTTCTGTTGGGTTGAAAATATGAATTATGGCAGACAGTAATAAGTCTGCTGACTCTTTCAAAACTAAGTTTGAAAGCTAAATATCAGAGCAGCCACCTCATCTTTATTTCCACCGAACGTGAAAGTGACATCCGCGCATTCAACGGGCGTCGAAACACTTGAATAATATTTGGGTGCCAACGGACCTGTTATGTGTGAAACTATGTGGCATCTTTTACCATTTTCTACATAAACGGGTTGGCTAAACAACACGTCAAAGTAATCAGCTGAATTTTCTCTGTCCTTGTATGTCTTAGAGACAAATATTTCTGACTGCTTAAACAGAGAAGGAACACCATTGAAATACCCTCCAGTAACTCTGACTTCAGAAACACCGTATGTACTGCCTTCTTTTCCAAAGATCTGCAATCCATGGAGGAAAAATGATTTGTTGGCTTCAAACGAAATCGTATTGTTACGCGGTGAGCTGGAAAAAACATCCGGGGACTGCCAACCGAGGTTAATTGGCACGGAACTAGGATAAAATGTAAAGCAGCGCAAGAATGGACCGGACCTTGGAACTTGTGGAAACGGTGGACGCGTTGTTAATACTTCACTGTAGTATTTCATCATGTCAACAACCTCTTTCAACGTAAGTATGTTGCTGTCAAGAACAATAGATGCAAATTCCTTCTGTGACATCAAAGGGAACCTTATTGCTTTCACAATTTCTTCTCCTAAAACTTGCCGCTTTATATTTCCATTTAGAGCTAGACCTTTCCTTTCAATTTCTTTTGTGGCCCAGCTATCAACTGCCTGGAATAATTCCACTTCTCCGACAAACAACTTTTCCTTCTTCACAACCGATTCAACAACAGGTCGATCAAGTGTAATGAATTCATGAGAATTCACGGCTACGCTTGCTTTGGTAGCCAACACCTCCCAGCAACGATCTTCTAATTGTTTTTCCTTGAACTTCTGAGCGTGCAGCAAAATGGAAAATATATTAGATCCATCCACGGTGTCATACATATAATCTGTGCATTTCGCTGCAAGGGAAGGTACCATGTATTTCACGGCCAAGTAATAAACTTGCATGACATTGCTTTCGCTTAAATTTGCCTCATCGCCGTACAAATGGCGAAACAGCTCTAGCAGACTCTCATAATCACAGTCAGACAGTTCAATGGAGTCTCCAGTTTCCGCCATTGGACCATAATGATACAACATGGCATAGAACACTGGGCTGCTGATGCCAAGAACAAACTTGTGAGCTGGGATAACCAGCTTTGCCTTCTTGCTTCCGTTATCATTCGCCTCGGTAAAAACAAACTTCACATCGCTCATGAGTTCTTTGTTGAAAATAAACTTTGTCCTTTCTTCAATACTGGGTAATTTCGTCTGCCAGTTATCGTTAACACCAGCCATCTTCAAATAGATCTCAATAACCTTTAGTCTCTGCACGTGCCAAATCGTTGCTACCACAACAGGCGGCCCAAGCTTGGTGCATAAATTACCGTGAGTTACGATACTGTTTTGCATGTTACGATTCGGTTTCTGTGATACCCTAAATGATCAAGGTCTAGGTAAGTGTTATCAGTCTCGGCCTTCTGTTCGGCTAATAACGCTTACCTCGACCTTGATTATTCCGGATATTACGAAAACCTCATCCAATAATTGTTTATAACATTTAACTTCGTTTATAACGATCAGTAAACACCTTGAATTCAAAGTTAAAATTCAAACGACCCTAAGAAACAAGTTACATCTATTGCTGAAAGCTCTGTACCTTGAAGCGACTTTAACTTTCTTTAGGTTTGCAGCAAAACACTACTCGATATCCCAACTCTTCGGCGGTTGTTTCCGCTTTCCAAACTCAGCGGAAGAAAAATGAGAATGTATGGGAAGTGGTCTCCCCCCCCCCACCCCCCCTGTACAAGATAAACCTTATTTCGCTGTTATGGATTTCATTTAAGAGAATGTATGGGAAGTAGCCCCCCCTTTCCTCCTCCCCCGTACAGGATAAAACTTATTTCGCTGTTTCCGCATTTGCTCGTCACCCTCTCTTTTTAGTTCTTCTTTGGATGAACTGAAAAAACTGTTATTACAAAACGGCTATCCCAGCTGTGTGTTAAATTACAACATGTTCTCAAGTAAGAAAACAGACCAAAACAGCCAACCACCACATTCCCCAAAAAGGAAGTCTTCTTAATTCTACCTTATTTAGATTTACAAAGCAGACAGGCTCTTCCGTGCTTTAATGTTCAGGGGAGATAATAAGGCTGGTTGTTGGGACTGCCAGCATTTTACATTGGTCAAACTAAACGTAGATTTAGGAAAACAGAGCACTTCAAATTAAATCCATTACGAGCGGCAATCACTCATCTGGTATTACGGACCATATCACGTCGCAAAATGAAATGGGACCATTTCGAAATCTTGGCACTGAGAGGACAGTCGGTCACCCATTGCTGATAGTTAGGGATTTACAACCTTTCCTAAATGAAAATATCAGCAGTAAAAACCTTTACCTTATTTAGTTTGCATGCTTTATTGCCAAAGAGCAGCTGCGAGGTGGCAGCCTAATAGAGGAGGCCGTGCGCGATTATTCCAAGGGCAGAAAAAATCTCGAATCGATGTAAAATGCAGTAATGTAAGCAACATTTATGACATAATGCAGAACAGACAATGCATTGTTTTCGAGCGGACACGTAATACAGATCCTAGAATCCACGGTCCGTGCGCGTGTTTGTGAGTCCCGTGCTCATCCCGTCTTCAACCAGTCGTCGGGTGGATATTCATTTGCATCATACACGCCGAGTAGCTGTCGCATTTGCTCGCTGGAATTTTTTAGTGCCTGCCGCTAAGAAAAAACAACGCCGTAAAATTTATTGTGTCTTTGAAGCAAAATAATTCGGAAGGCTTTATCGGCGCACCATAAATCTTATTTTGCTTTAAAAAGGGACCAAATATAAATATGTATACGCTGAATATTCGCGGACTTAAATACAATTTTTCGAGGATTCTAAACTGGCTTATAAGACCACTAAATTTTACGCAGAATGACATGTGCGCAACAAAAACACGAGCTTTAACATCTCGAAAAATTTGCTATATAAAGTAGGGACTTCAAATTATTTATGCAGTACAACAGTTTAGTTCACCATTTTCAAAAGACAAACTTAAAGCATGGGGCACACATACACCAACCCATGATCCGCCTTCCCACATGTGTTGCGTGGAGCTGGCACTTTGTACTCTTTGCTTTGCACTCGCCTCGGTAGTAAAGAGTCTTTGAGACACGGGTTTTCCCCGCTCATGCTGATGAACCCCAATAAATACCAAACAGCTGTCCGTGGCTACTACTTCTAGCGAGCGTGATATGGCTGTGCGCATATCTGGGTTGGTGTATGTGTGCCCAAGGTAATTTTACCTTTTCAATCTATTTTTCATAAATTACTGTAATTCATCACATTTCTAAACAAATTGAACAACGCGCGCGTGCATATAGGTAAAATAGCTTTGTCTATCTTGGTCAGCGTGTAGAACTCCGATATTCGTGGTGGATTTTGGCCTTGACTAAGCCACTTGTGAGTCATTTGGTCAATATGCCCGTTTGTAAAAAGAGCGTTTACTTTATGACTGTTATGACTTTAGTGGCTGTTTTTTAGTGGTTTACTTTGCTGTTAGTTCTTAAAGTTTTTAATTCTTGTCTTTGTTTTGCTGATAAGTTACCCGCTCAAACTGAAGAGAAAGTAATAGAAGCAATCTCATACTTTGTGCGTTCCAAATAGTTTTCTAAGGCAACTGATGGTTCTGGCGGCGGTTGCTAATTAGATTTAACATGGAACGGGTGAGGCTTGCTCTTAGAATTAGCAAAAAATATTGCAAGCGCATAGAGCGAGTAAATGCTTCAAAATCCTTTAAAAGGTTTTTATGAGAAGCCGGTTTTGGGGGAGTCGGAATGAGTTTTAGGCCTTTGCGTGCAAAAAAAGCTGTTTCTTGATCAGTAAGATTTTTTGTGGACAAATCTTTAGTGTATTTATCATTATTTGTTCTAAGGTTATGGATGGACAGATTGTATTTGCTTTGCGCAGAAGTGATCGCTTTTGACTTTTAGTCTGGGATCGCGCGGGGTTAGCGTAAGAAGAGTCAGTAAAACAGACAGTTGCCAATATACAATGCAACTCTTCCTTTATTTTCAGATTTGGAAAATACTTTAAATAGAGTTGTGAGTGCTGTCTGCATTCTGTCTGCATTCTGCTTCTTTCTGGCTGGCTGTTTGGGTTTGTTGGCTCTGAAAGTTAATATGTTCGCGGCTGACTGGATCCTTCGTTCTGCTTGCACACGTTTTGTTTGATCAGGAATCATGGTGGCTAGTGTTTCTTTTAACCTGTTAATGGTCTGAGTTTCTGAGCTAACGGTTTTTTTTCAGCTGTTCAATCATGAGGCTGAGGAGGTCCTGTTCTCAGCTCTGCGGTCTGGCCTGGTACTGAAGACCAATAGGGCAGATTCCTTTCTTAACATGATCTTTGAGAACCATGTTGGATTTTCTGGACTTGGCGCTCGTCGATTCTAAATTCGCGACTCTGTTCCTCAAGTTGCTGAAACCCGCTTCCGTGTTAGGACCGGGGGGCTGGCTGCGGCGGTTTACCGAAGTCTGGGCTGGCTTTCTTGGTACCTGCTTGCGTTCTGGGAAGCTTGGAGGCTGGTTGCGACGATGGTATATCGTCTTCTGAGTCAGAGTTGTTTGTCAGCGGTGACTTGAATGATGAGATAGGTGGCGTTTGGCTGTCTCTCATTTCACGCGAGCATGGCAATGACTGAATTAGCACAGTGATACAAAATAACCAATAAGAAGTATGGGATTTCGATCAGTTTCGCTTGAAGTCACGTGTTCCTTTGTTAGCGGTAAATAATAGATGCTAAATGAAAGTGAACTTATGCAAATTTGCCTAGGGATGGTTGTTAAACTTCATGATGGGTTTAAAAAGTTTGTCCTTGGAAATTGCTATTAAAATCAACAAGAAAAAGATGAGTCTATTTTTGATTTAAAATAAATCTTGAGAATCAGTTAATGGCGTGAAGTTCATACGGTGGCAGTGCAGTTTTGCAAATAAAAGAGTAATAATATTGTCACTCGACCCTTACCGAGTATAACTCCTTGGAGCCCCGCCTTACGGCCACCTCGGTAAAACGGTCACCTTGTTATTACGGCCACTCATTTTCTTATATATATAAAAAAATCTTCTTAATGCGGTCACCCGTTAATACTGCCAACAGCCAAATTTTAAAATACGAAACAGTAAACTGACTCGTTAATACGGCCACTCGTTAAAAATTTAGAAAAGTGAAATGCCTGTGACATGTCAATTTCAAAATGAGAGATTATATTGACAGGCAGGTTACTCCACCTAAGCTATCCTATTCCGGGCTCAGAGATAGTGGTGAAAAGTCGTTCAATAAAAAGAAATGCGAAAGACGCGCGGGTGCTGGGGAGAGCCTTGTTTCCCGCCGCCACCGCCCCCTTTCCCAATTCGCGCACGTCTTATTTTCGCTCTGCTCGTTTTACTGACGTCACCACTATACTATCTGAGAGACTGGTACAGGCTACGACTAAGCGGCTTACCTCAACTACCTGAGGTCTCCCACCTCCATGTAAACAGGCCCTTAATTACTTACTCTACATTTAAATTTCTGTTGCTGTTGTTTTTCAACGGTTAATTATGTCTGAAGATGTATTTGGAACATACGAAACGCCATTTTATTTCCAGAGATGCGTTTATACTGTATTTCCTTATGTTTGTCACTGCAGTTTGCTTTTTGTTTCGTCTTAGCTAAGATCATGGTAAAAAAAAAAAAAAAAAAAAAAAATCTACTATTAAATTTAAATACCAATTTAAATTTAACCAAACAAATTTGGGGTATGTTTGTTGAGGTTATTATTAAAAAAAGTAATATTATAAACATATTCACATAAAAGCAGAAAAAAATAAGAAAGACTAAAATTGAATATACATAGAAAAAACGAAAGGAAAAAAAAAAAAAAAAAAAAAAAGTGTCTACTATTCAGTTTAAATCCTCCTGCTAATTTATCCTGCCAAATTTGGATGATGTTTGTCGACGATATCATAAAAAATAGCCACTTTTAAAGATTATTGACAGTAAAGGGGATAACAGTATGAGTGGTACTTCTGTTGTTTTGGTAGAGTTGGAGAAACAAAATTTCGCATACTTTTACACGTTAGTGCAAAGAAGAACTAGCCAAACTACAGCGTAAACACATTGCAAAACTAGACTGACTCAAAGTGCTGTATGTGGCTTCAGGGGCCATAAGTTAATGTTATTAAAGGGACTGGTTCACGATAATGCACGATAATGCGCAGTTTCGGGTGAACCTTTAAAAGTCATTTGAAGAAAACAAATTC